AAAAAAAAAAAAAGATGTCATTTTTTCCCCACCCAAGAGCATGGACAACCCTGCATTTGATCCTAAATCCCAAGTTAAGAAGACTGTGGCCTCTTCTAGGCTTTTCCTTGACCCTTAATGAAGCAGAGCCACATCCCAAAGCGCAACAGGGCAAATGAAAATGCGGGACAATACTGTGCCCATCCTGAGAAATTCACCCGACTCACCCTGGCTCCCTGGGCAGGGCCTGAACCTCTGCAGGTGCTGTGGGCAGGGCAAGCTGCAGGTCAAGTGGGACTGGGCCTGAGGGCAGGAGAGCAGCTGGGGGCCAATCACTTCTGCAAGTTACAAGACCATTCCTACCTCCTGAAGGACAGAGGCTGGGTGGATCCATCGGGGCCGGGAGGGACATGACAGGCGGGGCATGCAAGTTTCTTACTCTGCACAACATCCTCCCAATGATGCAGAAGAACTGAGGCGCTTTCCAAGCCGCGCTCATTACAGACAACTGCGTCTGAAGAGGTTGCTTCTTTTCCCACTGTGATTTACAGCCTTGGGTGTTGAGCAAGGGGTGGTTGCCACACACCCTTGGGGTGGATGACTTTGGGCTCATTCTTGTCAGTTCCTGGGCAAAGAAGGGCCCTTTGAAGGCAGGGAAACCTGGCTGAGCCACTGGGTGGAGGAGGCAGTTGGCTACGTTCTCCATGGCCTTGGCAACTCGATAGTGCCCCCAGGCAGGTTCTCAGGATGCCAAAGCCCCTGAGATAGCCCGTTTTCTCTCCTGCATCAGGCACAACCCAGGAAAGCAGCATTGGCCATCTTGGGGCCGAGGTTTCCAGGGAGACCTCACCCCATCACTGATGGGGAATGCACCTTCTCCCTTCCCAAAGCCGCATCCTAGACTCAGTCTGACCCCTGGGAGGCCAAGGAACATGGAAGTGGGCCTGCTGGGGAATGACTGGAAGCAACACCCCTCCCAGCCCCCACAACGTAGCATGTGGCTTGGTTTCAAATCCCACTTCCGCTGCAATGAGGTGGCCATTCTCCCCCTGTAAAGGGTTATCTGGGCACTGGTCATGGTGTTTAGTGCTTTATAGAACTTGACCTCAACTCAACCCTGACATCATTAAGCCTCTATCAAAGGATCAAGTGGTTTAACCAAGCTTGTACATACACAAGAGCTTGAACCCAAGCCCAGGTGGGCCCGGCTCCAGAGTCCACATTCTGTCAATTGCAACTGTGTTGCCCCCTTCTCCTCCTCCTACTAGCGTGAGACCTTAGGCAAGTTACAGTGACCTCTGGGCCGATTTCCTCATCAGCAAGATGAAGACAAGAATGTCTACCTCCGGGGGTCACTGCAAGGGTTAAAGGAGGTAATTACGCAAAGTGCTGGCCAGTGGGCAGCACACAGTGGGGGTCTGACCAATGTCAGCAGCACAGAGCCAGGCTCTCAGCGGACGACGGCTCCCAGAGAAGCAGGAGGCAGGCGGTGTGCCCCGGTTCCAACCCCTGACCCAGCATGTAGAGAAAGAGGTTGCCGTCTTAATGTCCATGCTCCTTTTACTTGGTGTTGGAATCCTGGAGTCTTCTCGGGACACTTCCCAGTCCTGCTCACAGTCAGGCATCGATGTGACTGAGTTCTAGTCCTTGGGAGAATGCAAATGGGGTGGCCAGGGCTGGGATCGCCAGGGTGGACCAGGAAACCGCTGCCTTGCATGGAAGATGGGGCAGGGAGACAGGAGGTGGGGTGCAATATGGAACCCCGTGGGCCACGGCCAGCTCATACTGGTTCTGTGACTGTCCGGCCGGGGCTCACACTCACCCTGTGACTGCGTGACAGGGAACGTCACCTCCGCTGCTGTCTGGGCTGTACTCACAGGACTCTAGCTGGAGCCAACTCCTGGCGTCGGGTGCCCAGAGGGCTGAGCTCAGGGCCGTGTGGAAGCGGTGGTGTTCATCTGTGATCCCCAGCACTGCTGCAGGCAGACAGTGCCAGGCAAGCGCCAGGACGCCCTTCCCAGGCTGCGACTAGGGGCAGCCTGGGAGGGGCTGGTGGAGTATGCTCATGCACCATACTCACCTCTGAGACACACCCATTCACTCAAGATCATTCCAATTTTTAAGGAATACGGCCTTAGGCCCATACGTTAGCATCTGAAGCGCTTCTTACACTGTGAAAGCGCCATTTGGATTTGGCGGGCTGGCATGCCACTGACCACCACGGAAGCCACCACGGAGAGTCACTGTTCCGGGTCACCTCTGGGTTCCAGTTCACAGCACAGCCACCCTGCACCCAGGCTGTGCCACAGCATGACCTCTCGGGCTACCTGCTGTCTGAGGGGTGCCTGAAGGTCAGACCACAGAATACAGAACACAATGTTTACCTGTGGGCAGACGCTTGAGCTCTCGAGGTTCGTGGTGACTAGAAAAGGCACAAGGAGGGCAGGTAGACCAGGGCCCACGGTGCAACCAACAGGCGCCAATGGTGCTGTGAGCTGGCGCTGCGACCGAGAAGCTGCCTCCTGGAGCCATCTCACCCCTGGGAATTGCACTTAGGTTATTTTCAGACAAAGGAGCATCGACTGGGGGTTCTACCTTTTCAAATGGATGGAATTACATTGCCAGCTTGTATTTACCAGTTTCCAGGAGATAACTCCTCTCAGGAGGAGAGGCAGAGAGGATCAGGACTCTCCACATCAATCAATTTTGTGGCTTCTAAAGTAACTTTAGGAGGCACAGGAACTGGGGGGGGGGGAGCTCTCATCTGGGTGGGCCCCCAGTTCCCAGCTCATGAGGGGCAGATGCCAGCAGGCAGTCTTTGAGCCTTGGCTAGTGGGACAGAACCGAAGTCGGACAACAGCCATGTCTCCAAGACCGAGCCCAGCACACAAGGCAGGCCAAGAAACTTCTCTTTTTATTAAGTTAAAAAAACTGACAAAAGCAACACAACTTTGGGGAAAGCACCACGGCACGTCCTTTGTGCTATGTGAGAAGTGTGCTTTATCTCAACCAAGATAAAGTCCAGGCGCCCTCCCTGCAGGCCTGGCAGAGCCATGCCCTGGGACCACAGCCAAGTGTCTTCAGGCAGGATCTGCTGGGTCTATAAGGTCCATGGAGCTCCATGTAGCCAGCGCCCCACGGCAGACGTGCATCAGTGGGCAACCCTGCCCAAAGGTCCCACTCCCCAAGAGGCCTCCAGGACCCCCACCAAGGCACGGGGACAGTCGGAGCTGCTTAAGTAACTGCTTTGTGGCGCAGCCCCCACTGCTGCCCTAATCCCGAGCCAGCCAAGCAGTGTTCACACTGCAGATGCCTGAGAAGCCACAGGTGTAGACACCCTGCCCAGCCCCCTGCCAGGACACCAACACCTCCGCCCCCCTCAAATGGTGGCTTGGAGTGGACGAGAGGTGTTAGGCTAGTCACTGACAGGTGCCAACCTCCCCATAGCCCAGGTGTGAGGGAGGTACTGGTGAGGGACCCCAGTGACCGAGGAGGTGACAGCAATGAAGAGATCTCGGCAGGTCTCTTGGGGCCATTCTTATCCTGGAGCTCAGGGAGCAGACAGGGCCCAAGACAAAAGAGGGGGGTGAGGACGCCACTGTCCTCCACACGAGACGGATGTGGCCCTGGTGCCATCTGCAGGGCACACCCTGGGGTCCCTCTGCTATCTCCAGCTTACACCTGCTCCTGGTCTTGGCGCGGTCTGCCGGGAGGGAGCCCCCAGTGCTGCTGGTCTTGGCGCGGTCTGCTGGGAGGGAGCCCCCAGTGCTGCTGGTCTTGGCGCGGTCTGCTGGGAGGGAGACCCCAGTGCTGCTGGTCTTGGCGAGGTCTGCTGGGAGGGAGCCCCCAGTGCGGCCGGCAGGCGTGTGCGATGGGGGTCACTGCTGCCTCTCAGGGTGGGCTCTGAGGAGGGGAGGTCCCTGAGGGTACTTGAAACCTTGACCCTGCCACAGGCCCAGCTCCGGTGAGTGGGCACGATCATCTGTGTTCCCACCGGGCCATGCACTGGGTAAGGCCCTGAGTGGGTGGGCTGGGACTTACAGCTTTGCAGGAGGGGTCCACAGACCTTGGAGGTCTGGGTGTCCTTTGCTAATAAGGCCTTGTGGATGTCACTGAGGCCCCCTGCAGAATTTCTGCCCCTTATAAAATCTGTCCCAGGTTCTCTCCTCATCACCTTTCTGGTCTCAACCTGGGACCTGGTTTCCCAGGCCTGGGACACCATCTACAGATGGCAATTCAGCCCCAGCAGGGCAGGCCGGGAGGAACGGGCTGTGCCGGCAGTGCTTCGGGCCCTGACGCCCACCCAGGGCTCCTCCCTGCCCCTGCCTGCCGGGCCCCAGTTCAGGACCTGCCAAAAAGGTGATCTCGATCTCAAGGCGTCCTTCTCCCCGAGGCCAAGGTCGGTCCTGGTGCCATCTATGCCCCTCTGGAAGGAATCTCTTCCCACAAACCACTGCAAAGCTGAGAAGGCCCCCGGGGGCACAGCTGCAAGAGACACTTCTCTTCTCGCCTCAAGCTCAGAACAGCTGAAGGCTGCTGCTCCCCAGAGTTGGCGGAGCCCCTTCCACCTCTCGGAGTGCTGGCCCAGGGCTGGCTGAGCTCCCGCTGTGGCAGACAAGCCAAGGCCACGTTGTGACACTGAGGGCCGCAGTCTGTGGAGGGATGAAAGAGAGAAAATCAATCAGTGGCCACATTGTTCTGTCCTGATCGGGAACAAAATGACAATGAAGCAGCTGTCTGTGAGGCTCAGGCGTGAGAACTCCGGACGCAGCGCGCACCAGCAGCACACTCCCCAGCGATTCAGGCACCCGGGGCCTGCTTCCCCCACCGAGTGTGACAGATGATTTAGATGTCAACTTGATTGGATTCGGGGATACCCAGAGGCCCGGGGGGGGAAAGTTGTGTATTTTAAGCGCTGCCGCAGGTGCTGAGCCCGGCCCTCTTCTCCTGGAAGGGAAATGCAGGTGGCCTGGTACTTGTGAATGGCTGGGCTGTCCCGGTGCATCTGTGTGGTTGCTTCCAGAGGGCACCAGCGTGAGAGCCGTGGCCTGGGTGGGAAAGATCCTCCCCCAGTGCAGGCCCGCACCATCCGACGGGCTGGGTCCCTGCTGGAGCACAGAGCTAATGAAACAGGAACTCAGGCTTCTTCCTTCTGGAGCTAGGTTGCTCTTTTCCTGCCCTCAGGCAACAGAGCTCCAGGTTCTCTGGCCTTTGGACTCTGGAACTTGCTGCTCACCACCCCACCCCCGCCCCAAGCTCTGGGGCCTTAGTACGTGGCCTGAGCTCTGCCCTCCGCTTTCCTGGTTCTGCACCTTGCAGCCTAACACAGGACTTCTCAGCCTCCATCAAGCGAGCCAATTCCTCTAATATGAAGTTCCCTCACACATTATGCCTCTCCGAGGCCCCGAAAGGGAAAGAGGTGAGCCCTCCCACACGGGGGGCAGAGGCAGGCAGAGCCCTCTAGCAACCCTGAGTGTTCATCCGCTCCACGAGGCAAGGAGTCTCAGCAAAGTCATGATCAATGGTTGACGCTATTCGGAGATTTGGACTTTGGTTGTATTTAACCGGTACGTGTTAGCTGTACAGTTGTGTAAGACCAAGAACGTAAGAGTTTTCTAGTTGTATGTGTGTATCCAAGTAACCTTAGTAACACTTCAATTAAAGCACTGAAGCCTGCACTGCGGCTTTGTGGGACTTTCCCCTTTAAGTGGGGTGCACCTCTCCATCCCTCACAGCGCTGGGCCCTCTGCTCTCTCAAGGCTGCTCTGCAGGAATTCTGCCCTCCCAGGTGGTCAAGTTGTTTCCGGATATAGAGGCTGGGTTGTGTGGCTGAGAAGGTCCCCAAATGCCTCCAAGCTCCTCACAAGTGAAGCTGGGTTCACAGGGATCCCTGAGATGCTCTAAGATGGCAAAGCTGGTCCTCTGGGGCCTGGCCACCCGATCCTGGCCCTGACCCCTCTAAGATGGCAAACCCTGTCCTCTGGGGCCTGGCTGCCCGATCCTGCCCCTGTCCCAGCAACAGCACATGCCAACATGTGGTCCCTTCATGGTGAGGCCTCACTGCTACCTGGGACTAAACATCCATGCCACCTACCTGGGGGTACCCCTCAACGTGCCCTGAGCTGTTGAGAGGAATACAGACGACAGCTTAGGAGCTGGGGAGCCTCAATGCCAGGCTCCTGTGTTCCCTCCCAGGCTGGGCCCCTTTCATTTTTGGCAGGTGCTCCCTGGGGCCTGGCCTCCTCATCAATGAACTGGGCTAATCCTCCAGCTCGCAGAGTGGATGGGGGGTCAGCGGCCGCCCTGCATTTACTGTGTGCAGCAGGCCCTGGCCAGCATGCGTCCTGTGGGTTGTTGGTGTAGGGCTTGCCCCGCTGGACTCAGCCTGTACCATCAAGGGTGGGATGGTGCCCTATCCCCCAGCCCGGCACAGAAACGAATGACTGCTGATAACTGGACGGATAGACCCCCATCCTGGGCACTTGCCTAGCCAGGCCCAATCCTCGAGGCTGGTAGAAACCCTCAGGCCTGCACTCTGAGATTTCCCACCTGTAGCAATTTTTTTTTTTTCCGACAGTCTCACTCTTGTTGCCCAGGCTGAAGTGCAATGGCGCCATCTTGGCTCACTGCAACCTCCACCTCCCGGGTTCAAGCAATTTCCTTGCCTCAGCCTCCCGAGTAGCTGGAATTACAGCCATGTGCCACCACACCCGGCTAATTTTTTATATTTTTAGTAGAGATGGGGTTTCTCCATGTTGGTCAGGTTGGTCTCGAACTCCCGACCTCAGGTGATCCGCCCACCTCGGCCTCCCAAAGTGCTGGGATTACAGGCGTGAGCCACCATGCCTGGCCTGTAGCAACTTCTTTTAAGGCAGGAGAGAAGGTGCTGCACTGCCCCTTCTGCAGCAGTGAAAGCCACAGTGATTAAAGAGCCTGGCCTTTCCCAGGGCTGCGACTGGAGCCCCTGCCCTGCACCCCAGTGGCTACAGTGGCTAGGCCCCAGTAACACCTGTGAAGGGAGGACGAGCTGTCAGCAGCTGGACGCCTGCCTGGCATTCGGCAACCCCCCATGCTGGAGGCGGCTGGGGAGAGAAGGGTTGGGGGGAGTACCCAGTGGGAGAGAAAAGGAGAGAACGTTTGCAGCAAGACCACCCTTATGGGGTAACCAGGCGCCTCCTGTGGCCGCTGGCTGCTATCCCCTAGGCCGTGGATCTAACCCCAACACTGGAGCAAGGGGCTGCCCTGGAGGTCCTGCCATCACCCAGGCTCCAGCTCAGCAATTCCCCGCTGCTTCTGGGCAGCTGCTGGCCAAGCCTGTACTCCGTGCCAGGGGCACAGAAGTGAGGATGCCCGTGGCCAGCTCCCTAGACACGCCTGCAGGCACACAGCACACTCAGGGTTCCAGTCCTGCTCCAGCCTTACTCACTGTTCATCTGATGGCAACTGTCTCCCCTCTCGGAGCCCTAGTGGGCGTCCTGTCACAGCAGGACCGCTGACAAACAGCTCTGGAGTATGACGGGACGCCATGCAGATGCTCACACCTACCAAGAGCTCCAAGAGGAGGCCAGGACAGGGAAAAGAACATGCTTGGGGACACACAGGGGCCACAATCCGGGGTGCAGAGGGAGGCCACAGTGTCCAGCGGACCTCCTGGTGGCTTCTGAAGCTTACATCAAAATCTTGCAAATGGCCCTCCAGGCATAGGGACAGTTGGGCCCCGCGTGGACGCGGGAAACTCAGCCACGTTCACGGGGACCGGCAAGAGCTGGACTTCTCACCAGCACCCTTGGCCTGATCCCCGCTTCTGCCTGGGACAGCAGGGTCAGGGAGGGGAATGCGGGGGGTGGGGGTGGGGTGGCAACAGAAGCCATCTCAGGCCCAGGCACTGCCAGACGACACTCTAGGTGGCCAATGACCTGGGCTCAGTGAGGAGTGCTGTGTTCACGAGGGGAGCCCACCCTGGGGTGGGGGGGTAGGAGGCAGGTGTACTTGTTTCCACCCTTTCTGGCTCTGTCCTTGTCGAGGGCACTCCACCCAGCTCCCCACAAGCCTTGTCTGGTTCCAGGGCTCTGCCCCTCCTCCCACTCAGAGCCACAGCACAGGCCCCAGTTTGCAGCTGCCTGAGTTGGGGGCTCTCCTCTGGCTCAGCCCTGGCAGTGCCACAGTGGCCACCTGAGTGGCCCAGCAACAAGAGCACTGCTTGCAGCCACTGTGGTTCCCTTTCCTAGGGACGTGGGGAGGGCTAGGCATGCCTGGGTATTGGCTTCTGTGATGCAGGCCCATCTGTGGAGAGCCCAGTTCACTCCCTGCCTTTGAAGACAAATGGGAGACTGAGCTGTCCAGGCAGAAGGTGAACAGGAGGGGCTTTGCAGAGCATGGGAACAACCCAGGGTCACCCCGAGGAGACAGAAGCCATGGGAGTAGGGTGGCCTCAGGCGGAGGAGGGGCTGTGCAGAGGGTCTCTGGATGGCTGCCAGGCCCATGAGAAAGAAGCGGCTAGAACGCAGGGCAATGGCAGAAGCCTAAGAGCAACCCAGACTCGGCGTGGCCACTGGGAAACACGCAGCCCAGAGCGGCTTACGAACGCGTTGGGGACATGGCTCTGGGATGACAGGGTCTGGAAGTAACTTCCCAGTCAGATCTGGGACTGGCTCAGTCTTGTGTGTCCACCTCTTCATCCCTAAATGGGGCTGATGACAGCAACCCCATGACAGACTGAGGAGGACTCAGGCAGGAACAGGGTGTGTGCCCACAGAGGAAGAGCAGTCATGGGTGGATGGTCCTTTCTAGAGGGAGGGGCTGAGCAGGGACATCTAGAGGCCCTTGCAACCCACAGCACACCAAAACCATCATCATCAGCATCCCCCGTCCTCCATGGCTACCCCTTTTGAAGCTGCTTCTGAAAGTGTCAATCGTTTATCTCTATTCAAGTGCTGTGAGTAATACGATTTCCACTCCCATTGTCCAGATGGGGAAACTGAGCCTCAGGGGAATCAAGTAACCAGTCCAGGGTGGAACAGCCAAAAAAATCACAGCAAAGGCACTGTGCATGCTTCCCTTCCAGGGCGCCGGAGCAGAGCAATTCCTGGAAGACACGTAATTCACTAGGTCCAGCTGACAGCCAGGGCCAGGTGGGAGGGAGCCTCTGGGGCAGCCCTGGTCTGGAGGTTCAGACAAGAGATGGTTTTAGCTGCCTGGGGTCAGCAGCATGGGCCCCCTCACCCTTCCCTGGCTGGCTGGCCTGGGGTGGAAGGAGCCTCCATTTCCCACAAGTGACATTCCCCAGGTTCCTATATGATCTAGAGAACAGCAACAGAGAATTAATGAGGAAATGCCAGTATCCTCTTGGAATCTCACTCCTCAGGAAATTAGGACATTTGGCAGGTCTGATTTTTCTCCAAAGAGAGCACATAAAAAAAAAAAAAAAAAAAGATGAAGGCTGGGGGCAGTGGCTCACACCTGTAATCCCAGCACTCTGGGAGGCTGAGGCAGGTGGATTGCCTGAGGTCAGGAGTTAAGACCAGCCTAGCCAACACGGTGAAATCCTGTCTCTACTAAAAATACAAAAAGGAGCTGGGTATGGTGGCATATGCCTGTAGCCCCCCTTACTTGGGAAGCTGAGGCAGGAGAATTGCCTGAACCTGAGAGACAGAGGTGGCAGTGAGCTGAGATCACGCCACTGCACTTTAGCCTGGGTGACAGAGAGAGACTCTGTTTCAAAAAAAAAAAGAAAGAAAACAGAAAAGCTGTAAAAGAGAAAAGCGGGCCGGGTGTGGTGGCTCATGCCTATAACTCCAGCTACTCAGGAGGCTGAGGCACAAGCATCGCTAGAACCTGGAAGGTGGAGGTTGCAGATAGCACTCCACTGCGCTCCAGCCTGGGTGACAGAGTGAAACCGTGTCTCAAAAAAAGAGAAGAAAAGCAGTGCTCCTATTCAGGCTGGCCTCTGTGAGCCCAAACACCGTGTCTGCCGATTCGATGCCTGGGCCCGGGCCGTCCTCGCCTGCATCGTGTCTCTCTCTCTTTTTTCCTTTTTTTTTTTTTTTGTCTCACTCTTTCGTCAGGCGCTAGGCTGGAGTGCAGTGGCACGATCTCGGCTCACTGCAATCTTCGCCTCCCAGGTTCAAGCAAT